GGGTTTACTTAATGTACTTGTTTCGAAAAACAGAAACGATGTATTTGATGAAGAATATTGTTTTTCTAAATTTTTTGCATTTTAATATTTGGTAACATGCCGACCCATAGTAATTGATGGAGACTGTACACTAAATTGATGTCAGTGAAGCAACAGAAATTAGGAGAGCTTTCACACAGGCATGGACGCGAAGGCTCTATAGTAGAAAAATAATAATGAAAAAGACGAAGGTATACTTGTTTTTTTTTTTTTTTTTTTTTTATATATATATTTTTACATATATATACCTCTTGCTAGGTTAGAATGAGTATTTTTTATTTTCTCCTTCCATGAATATGAAAGGAATTTTGTATAAGACAAAGTCTATACGGTCTGCATATATCTTCGGTTCCAGCAATTAAGAATTATTCAGAAAAATATAATGATTAGTATTATATTTCTGGGGGTATATGGTCAGGGGTGTGGTGGCAAGGGAAGATGTCCTCTTCCTCGGTGCTAAATTTGGCTTTCCTTTTTTGGTATGATTGGACAAGAGTCAAGATAGTTAAAATTGAAATTTTACATAAAATCAGAAAAATGATACAAAATTATAAAATATAAAATCATAACGTAAAAAATCATAAAAATATAAAAATATTTGAAATTTTGATAAAATTATTTTGATAAAAAAAATTATAATAATAAATTGAGATTTTAACTTTCGTGTGCTTGGAGAGCTCTTGTTGTATTGATGTCAAGCTTGGAGCTTAGACAAGTTGGCATTAGAGCTGGCAAAATGGGCTGAGCCCGCCGGGCCGGCCCACCAAACGGAGCGGGGCGGACTGAGTTTTCTAAACCCGCTGCCCGCCAAGACCGCCAGCCCGTCCGGGCTGATTTTTTTTTTTTTTAATTTTTAGTGTAAAATGTGACGGGCTTGGCGGGGCAGCCCGCCCCGCCCGCCCAAACGGGGCGGGACGGACTGAGATATCTAGCCCACCTTCAATGGCGGGGCGGGGCGGGCCAGCCCGCTTTTTGGCGGGCTTTTGGCGGGCAGGGGCGGACAACCCGCTTTGCCACCTCTAGTTGGCATATACCTGGTCAGAACATGGAGAAAAATAATATTAATACGGCGACATTGGGGGAAGATAATTCATATGGAATGTAACGGTGACATTTTTTAGATTGAATCGTTCTAAATCGGTTCGATTCAAATTTGTTTAAAGAATCGTAATATTTTATTTAATCCGAATTGGTTTTTATATTTTTGAAATTGATTCAAAATAATTCATGTTTTAAAGTTAATTTATGATTTATATCAGGTTCGAATCAGTTTAAATATACAAACCAATTTTGGTTCGATTTTAAACTAGTTTTCAATTAATTCTGGAGCGGTTTCAAATTTATTGCAAATCGGTTTCAAATAAATCTTTTAAATAAGTTCTTTTGATTAGTTCAATTTTTAAACTGATTATAAAATCAGATCAGTTTTCAAAATTAGTTAAAAAAATACAATTCAGTTGAATTTGATTATTTTATACCGCCCTACTGGAATGGGGAAGTTACTCTGCAATGCATAATTATGGACATTTAATAGGTAGGAACGCGGTTCGCTTGGAAGGTGTCTAGAATATATTGTCCATCGCTTGGAACTCAAAGCTGCAAAGAACAGGCGTTTTTTTTTTTTTTCTTTCTAATATTCCAATCGGTTGCTTTGCTATTAATCCAATTTCGGGACGGGTTCTGGTATTAAGGCTTTAAATTCCTTTCAAGATGATACTGAAAAAAATCGAATACATAGAATTAAATACATGCTCTCATTCCATATATTCAATTCTCCAACGCTAACTGAAGTATTATTAATTATTTGGTATGACATGCTTATTCTAACTTGGGACTTTGGGTGCACATAAAAGTCACATTGGAAAGTGACACACGTAGAATATACGCTGATATATTTGAATAGAAGTTTTGATTTGTTTTACAATAAAAGCATTCTTATTGACATTATTATAATACTATGGTTGATGCTCTTGTCTAGTTTGCCAACACTAACGATGGTAATTGAGTAAATTTACTGATATACTATACATGTGAACGGTTAGTGAGTGGAGCTACGTATGTAACCTAATGGGTGTCCTTGATAATAGTAGTATAGAGCAATGCTATACAAAGAGATCTCAAGTGTAGTGTGCAACAATAGGGAGTGATCTGGAGTGGCTACATTAGCTTTTCAAATTCACAGAGTAACAACTCATGTAATTTAAGGGGTGTCCTTGACAGTAGTGATATAGATCAAGGCTATGCAAAGAGGTTCCAAATGTAATGTGTAACAATGGAGGTGATGTGGAATGGCTACAATAGTTTTTTTTTTTTTTTTAAATATTCTAATCGGTTCATTCCTTCGCAGCTAATTCGATTCGGGACTGGTCTAGGATTAAGGCTTTAAACCTCTCCCAAAGGTATCGAAAAGATTCGAATACATGCTCTCACCCCACTGCTTAGCTCCCATATGCCAACTGAGTTACCAGTATTTGATTGCTACAATAATTTTCTAAATATTAACAGAGTAACAACTCATAAAAATAATGATATTATCTATGTTCACGGTGAAAGGAGGGATACTTATAATTTTTGATCTAAATGGCAAAGTAAGCCAAGTCAACTACTGTGGGAATGAGCATGGTAGTTAAAATCTCGATTTAAATTTGTGATTTTATGATTTTTTTTAATCAAAATAATTTCATCAAAATTTTAAACGCTTTTAGGGTTTTTTATGATTTTTTTACATTAGAATTTTATGTTTTACGATTTTTAATTGTCCTTTCAATTTTAAATAGAATTCTGATTTTAACTAGCGAAGGTAGCTTGTGCCTTTGCAGTGAACAAACAAATGGAATGAGAGGTTATTCCAAATAAGGGATTTTGATGTCTTAGGCCGGAAAACCTACTTACTACATAAGTACTGATATGGCAGCACTATCAAGACAGCTCTAATGCTTTAGGATTGGTGCAGCAAAGATAGTATGAGAAACTCAACATGTATGCTATTTTTTTATTGAATGTTGATATTGCTACGTAATAGAATTTCTTTTCAGCTAAGAATACAATTAAGAATTATTCCTTTTATCGTACTTAAACATCAGAGTTACACACGTTGTTTGCTCTCTCATACTTTTTTTTAGAGTAAATATTTTTTTTGTCCCTGACAAAAAATATGGTTCCTATTTTAGTTCTTTACAAAAGAAAATTAATCAGTTGGTCCCTAACAAATTTAAAGTGGACACATTTAGTTGAAATTGTGATCATTCACAATTTCAAAAAAGACCCATATTAATTCCTCAAAAAGACTAAAATAGATCCACTTTGAATTTTGTTAGGTACCAACTGACTAATTTTTTTTTTTTGTAAAGAACTAAAGTGGAGACAGTATTTTTTGTTAGGACCCAAAAAGATATTTAGTATCTTTTTTAATAACAATTTTCATCCTAGAGTGTAAATGTGAAACTCAACTAACATTGTCGTTTTTTACATGTATTTTCTTAAATTGTGATTGCTTACACGCATTTTTCTTACGACCTCGTTTGCCTTCATGACTTGCTCCAACCTCCAATGGCACTGAAAAATAGACAAACTCGGTCGACATTAATAAATATTTTGACTAGAGGTAAGTAAGAATGTGTTACACCAAGGGGCGTTTGATAGAGGAAAAAAAATTTTTATTTAAAAATCTCAATTTTCATAAATATAATTTTTACATTCAGTTTACGATAATATTTGAAAATTTAAAATTTAAAAAAATTCAATTTCTCGAAAATCTTTAAAAAAAATCTTGTAACAAACGCTCCCTAGACATACAAATGAACGAAAATATGTATATGAAGTTTCAAAAAATTGACTGCATTGTTTATTGTTACTGTATAACACGTGTCCGTTGGATGGGGTTTGATAATATCGGCCCATGCAGAAGGCCCATTCCGTGCTACTTCATCTCATCATAAGGCCATCATTACTCCGAACGTGGACCCCATCGTGCCACGTGGGACCATCACACTAGCTGTCCCGAACAATCCCCACCGTCACCGATGACTACCACTCGTTCCCCGAAAGCGACAACACGCTCACACACGTCGTCCCCACGTACGTGGCGGGCCCCGCTCCCAACGTGGCCACGTCGACCTCGTCTCATTTACACGTGTCCTCACGCGCTTTTCCTCCGCCACGTGTCTCCAGATACTACGCCGGACCCACTCCCTTTTTAATGTCCTTGATTATTTATTTGAAAAAGGTTCGCGAATCAATAAAATCAAATCTTTGCTTTTGGTACATCGGTTATCAGTTATCATAAGCAACACACGCGCCGTCATTTACGGTCACGCGTTACAGTCGTTGCAGTAAGGGGGAGTGTAGTAAACGCGCTCGGCCGAGAATAGGAATCGGGTTGGTGATTTTAAAGGGTTATTTTCATTGGTGGTGTTTCCTAATTCAACAACCGAGGAGGGTTTCCTTGTAAAGCACGTTTCGTGAGGACCTAAACGCTATAAATACCTCAATTCCAAATAACCTTTTTCTTTCTTCTCTGCTCTTATTTCCTTACGCCGCTTTGCAATCTGTTTTGTGTCTCACTCGTTCATTCAGCTTCTTTGTTTTCTCGCTTTTCAGGTGAATATATGCTTTTTCTGTTTCTCCTTCAACGTACCCATAACACATTGCCTTCCCAATTGTCTCTTTACCTGTTTGGCTGCCGATAATTTTACTCCAAAAAAATTCATTTTTTTATTAGCTTTGTGCCAAACAACTTGTGGGTTTTGTGTCCTTTCTGGGTTCTGGGTTTTCTGCTTTATTTTATTTATTTATTTATTTTTTGTTGGCTGCCAAACTAAAAATTTCGGTTTGTTGGTGCCTTTTTCATTTGGTATATCCCTTCTTACTGGTGTTTCATTTTCGCTTTTGAAGATTATTCAACTAGAGCTTGCATTTGAAGATTGATGACCAATCTCGTTTCCTTTTTCCCGTGGTTGGAGCTCGTTTCTTAGGTAAGCTATGGTTCCTTTTTTTTTTTTTTTGTTCTTCTTTTCTCCTTTTCCTCTGTTTGTCAAAAGGGTCTCTTTTTCTCTTTTTCAAATCCAGATTATTTAATTCGGCTTCTAATTTTGTTTGGTTGCTTTTTTATTTTTTACCTTTATTTTTGTTTTGGTTCCGTGAGAAAATTGCTTGACATTCAAAGGGGCGGTGCCATTTTGACTTTTGGGAGTTTTTCGTGTTACTGTTGCCTTCGTTTTTAATGATTATTCAATTTCATATTAAAAACTTTGGGAGCGGGTCGGAATCTGGGGCACCTTTTTTTTAAAGGAAAAAATGTATTTTTGTTTTCCCTTTTCTTCTTATTCTTCTTCTTCTTCCAGCAAATCATAATCTACTTTGACTGATCGTTACATGATTGGTTAATTCAGTTTTTTCAGTTTATCCGACCGCTAGATGGATACTGTCGACTGATTTGTCAGCCTTGGAGCTGTTTTTGATTAAGCTGATGTGATGTTATTTGTTTTCACACTTGATTTTTTTTAGTCTAATCGTTTCTTGTCCTCATCCTGTAAACCATTCTGAACCATCTAAAAAGAAAGTAAAATATAAAGAAAAAGAGCAAAATGTCAAATTGTGAAGTTGACAGCGTGTTCCCTGTTCAATTTACCAGTCTTGGTGTTGTTCTTTCTGAATATTTTTTATTCATACCGTGGGAAAGACTTGTACGCCTGAATTTACGTTTGAAGGAAATAAACATGCCATACAAAGTTTGGGAACTTTTTTTTATTCTTTACCAATGTTTATATATATTCTATGTCAGTTTGTCTATTTCGTTGCAGAATCTTGATGTGTTGGGTCCATATGTATTATTGACTCCCACTCTTTGTAGGCCCATGGTGTGTGGTTGCATATGGTATTGTTTTCTTTCCTGTCCACTAGGCGGGGTAGTACAACTTTACATTATGCAGAAAATTAGCATTTTCTTAATTTTTTCATTAACACACTTCAGCTGTTCAAAATTTCTAATGAAAGTAAAATTTTTTAGTCTAATCGTTTCTTTTCTTCATATTTATTATGCTGTCTAGTTCTAGTCAATCTTCCTAGTGATTTCTGTTTGGCTGAGTGAGTAGACTGATGATTAAGGTTTTTATTATATTAGTATCATACTTAATTAGTTGTTACCATTAGAGATATATAAAACCATTAATGCAACCTCACTGATCAGCTTAAGTTTTTGGGTTGAATTGGTTCTTTACATTGTATCAGAGCCTCGTGTCACGGGTTCTATCCTCACCGCCTCCATTTTCTCTTGGAATTTCTTAGCACAGGTTGGTGGACCTTTGCATTGTCCACCCTTCAAACCCAGTGGTGGACTGTCATGTGAGGGGGCGTGTTCGAGATATATAAAACCATTAATGTAACCTCACCTAGCAGATTAAGCTTTAGGGTTGAATTGATTTTTTACAATTACGTTGTAGTCGGTATAAGTAGCTTTCTCAACATTCATTGTTATCATGTTCACCGATTGAAATCTTTCAAGCAGTGCCTTTTAGTAATCAAGCGTGGAAGTGTATTTTATGTTTTATTTTTTCTATAAATAAATGAGTTTTTATCCTGAAGCTGGGAAATGGGGAAATTAAATTTATATGGTAAAATTATACTCATCCTTCTGTTCTTTATCTTCTGTTGCAATACAATTTAATAAACAGTAATTGAGGATAGAATCCAAAAGTTGTTAATTTTCTTCTTTGTTAAATTGTTCCCTTTGTTATATGCAAATACAAAACACGCAAGAATGTTCTCATACTATTGCATAAATTACGTAATCCTAACCACCTATAAATTACTCAACCATAGTTCAAGGTAAGGCATTAATGTTCAGTTGTCAATTAAGCCCAACTTGTGCTTTTTTTATTCATACCTTTAGTTCAACACAAGTAGGATGGGCTCATTATTGTCTTTATTTGGATTTTAGTGAATTGCATTTTTAGACCAATCATTAATAGGAAGAATCCTTCTATCAGATGAATAATTAAATGATAGAAAGAAAGAGTCAATGGCACTTCCTTTCTTTTTACTTTTCAAATTTTTTTTTTTAACATGGATAATAAGAATTCGTGCTCTATAATTATGCTTTTGATAACAGCAGTTACTAAAGCTGTCTCCTTTACTTTTCCCTCCCTGCTTCCCTGTCTTGCTTCTGGTTGCTTCATGTGTTTCACAGTATAATATTCTATACATGTCCAGCATCTTTGTTATTTGTTAATTTGATATTGACCAAAGCATTTTTACGTGTGCTGTTTGTTCTCACATCCTTCTGACCTTCAAGTTGGTTTTCCATTTCTGTTGGAGGCTGCACATTGTTTAGAGCTCAAAAATTTCCATTTTTAAAATCGTGTTTGCCAATACATGTCTGCAACTGTTTTATGCTTTTAATAGTTAATACGAAGATGAAAAGGTGGACTTGAACTTGATTTCCATTTGTTTCAATTATCTGTTACTTTATAATCAATTACTTAAAGCTAAATCAATTATATGATCATTATTTTTAGGAGCTCAGCAGTTGATGGACTGTTATCCCAAGAGCAGTGACAAGAAATCATTAAAGAAGTGGTTTTTTATTGACAAACGTGTTGGGTGAAGTGGAAATCTGATAGATATCAGTTCGATTGGTGCTCAATTCTCCTTAATTTTGTTACATTGTTGCTGCACTGTAAACTGGTTTACAAACCTGGATCCCATGGACTTGAAGTCAAATCATAATCCTGTTCTCACGGATACTGCACACATAACAAAGTCAAGACTGGGTGTGCATTCTAGTTTGTTGCCTTACTCCCATCCTGGGGCAACCTTTCCACATGGTTTGTTGTTGAATATCCCAAGGAGGAAGACAGGAATTCTTGAAGATGTCCGTTCTAGTGGTTGGTTGGATGCCATGAAATCATCTTCGCCTCCACCCAAGAAGATAGCAAAGGATGTTTGTCATGGGTTTGCATCACCTGAAGCTGATACTGCTAGTGCTTATTTTAACTGGCTGGTAATACATACTTCCCTTTGGAGTAGTTTCCAAGTTCTACAATTCTGAGGGGGTTATTTATGCTATTTCTTTTTTCCATTTGTTAATTTCACAGCTAAAATATCCATCAGCTCTAATGTCTTTTGAGCAAATCATGAACTATGCTAAAGGCAAGAAAATCGCATTGTTTTTGGATTATGATGGAACTCTTTCACCAATTGTGGATAATCCTGACTGTGCTTTCATGTCTGACAATGTATGTGATATTCTCCTTTGGTTTACTGTCCTGAACTTCAATTGGGATTTATTCATTTTTCATCCTTCCGTTGTTGATTCTTATCTTGTAAATTCTGCAGATGCGTGCTGCTGTTAAAAAGGTGGCAGAATATTTTCCAACAGCAATAATTAGTGGAAGAAGTCGCGACAAGGTAGTTGAACAATTCTATTTAACACAAAACAATTTTCTTTCTCTTTTTATTTCTCTTATCTATTTGAACACAACTGCATATAACAGGCTTCCTTGTCAGCTGTTGGTTTTGGTTCTAACTTTCGGTAACACCTGTTGGTTCAGGTATCTGAATTTGTAGGACTAACAGAACTCTATTATGCTGGTAGTCATGGGATGGACATCATTGGCCCTGTTAGACAATCTGTATCTGATAACCACCCAAATTCAATCATTAGGCATACAGACAAGCAGGTACTGGGGTTCAAAGTTTCGTTACGTCATCTGTTAATAATTCTGGGTCTCACTTTCCTTTTTTTTTTCTTGTAGTAGTATCTTAATGAATGACCTCTATTATGATCTTTAAAATTACAGGGTAAGGAAGTTAATTTATTCCAACCTGCTGCTGAGTTCCTTCCCATGATTGATGAGGTAAGTATTTGAATAATACTCTTACCATGAATCACCTTTGAATGTTTTTTTCTTAATATGGAAGTGGTATCCTGATTGACTCATATTTGGGCAGGTATTGAAGTGTCTCGTTGAGATTACGAAAGACATTAAAGGAGCAAAAGTTGAGAACAATAAATTTTGTGTATCTGTACATTACCGCAATGTAGATGAGAAGGTTTAGGCTTCTGTCCATTTGCTTAATAATTTTCTGCTAAGTTGATTTGCCTTTTCCACAACTTGTTACCTGTTTTTGTTTGTAAGTATTTTTCTTTTTTCAATTTAATATACAGAGTTGGGATATGGTGGGGCAATGTGTTCATGATGTTCTGAAGGGCTATCCACGTTTGCGATTAACTCATGGGCGCAAGGTACTTTTTTAGAGCAAAACTTTTGACTCATTCTTTTACGAGATTTAACTGTTCCATTACTTTCCCTGGATGTTTTCTCTTTTGTAATTTCTGCTTACTATTTTTCAGGTTTTAGAGGTCCGACCCGTGATTAACTGGGATAAGGGAAAAGCTGTCACATTTTTACTTGAGTCCCTTGGTGAGTTCATTTGTTGTTTGTTTAGTATATGATTACTTTCTCTAAACATCAGAATTCTTTGTTTTGCAGTAAGTGACGTTAAAAATATTGTTTTTTAGGACTTAGCAATAGTGATGATGTGCTTCCTATTTATATTGGAGATGATCGGACAGATGAAGATGCATTTAAGGTAATACTTTTGTTGCAGTGATGTTGTGGCTTGAGCTTCTTGTCTGTGTTTTCTCATTTCTTTTTTCCTCTTGCTATGTTGATTTCTTGAATACTGACACATCAAATGGCGAATTAAAAGGTTTTGAGAGAGGGAAATAAAGGTTATGGGATCTTAGTGTCTTCAGCACCAAAGGAAAGCAACGCAATTTACTCTCTTCGGGACCCATCGGAGGTAATTATCATTTTTAACTGAGTTTATATATATTTTCTTTGAAAGCTTTCTTTGTGGGTTATTTGTTCATTTTCTTTGGCACTAAAGGCTGTTAGCAAGAGAGAGATACGGTAAATGCTATGTAAATCATTTGGTCTAATTGGTTGTATATGACATAAATTTTACCTAAATGTTGTTGTATTATATGCAGGTCTTGGAATTTCTCAAGTCACTTGTGATGTGGAAGTCAAGCCCCATAAAGAGTCTTATATAGTGTATAGAGGAGTAGATACTCGGCTATACTATATAATAATAAAAACAAACTTTCCAAGAGTTTTCCTGGAGCAGATTTACGCACAGAAGACCTATCTAGTGGTTTTTGCTCAAAGGTCCTGTCGTAACTGTAAATTCGTGGCTCATAATTATATATGTCTTAAAAGAATTAAAGAAAGTCTATAGAGTTTTTTTTTTTTTTTTTTTTTTTTTTAAATTATTTATTCAAAATTGTGTTGTTATTTAATCATTGCTGCTTCAGTTTTGGTCACTATATCTAACTACTTAAACGAGAGTTACATATGAAATTATTCATTTGTTAATTATTCTTGTATATAGCTTGACTGTTGAACAATATATATATATAAATCTATGACAGCTTTTAATAGCTTATCCGTGATAGCCCTTTTTACCCATAGAAAATTCAGTGTAAGCTTTGATGGCACTCCAAGAATTTAAATCTTAATCAAAATAAAAAAGAAAGCAACAAGTTTTCGAGTCTTTCTCATGTCAGTATCGAAGTCCCCACATGTGAAGGATAAAACCCAACCCAAATGGCTTATATGATTAGAGCCATTCGGGAGGGGCCTAATGTACGCTAAAAGCTGGAAACAAATAAGAGCCAGAGGATGGGCTCTGATTGATGTGTTGCGAATGGAAATGGGACTAGTGGTGTGTGGTAAACGGGAAAGAAACGAGTTGTGTGCACGGACATTTGACTAATTAAACTTAGAGTTTTACAAGAGTTATATGGTAAGAAAAGTGATTGTGTAATATTATAAAAATTTGTTTTGTGTGCCTTAGTTTTTTTTTTTTTTTTTAAAGTGCGGGCTCCACAAAATGTTGTTAGTGTAAAATTTTTTTTTTGTGTCATATTAAAGAACAAAACGAAAACCCTTAGGAGGCGTTTGGTACGCGGGATTCTTTAAGAATCTCGGAAAACTGAATTTTTCTAAATTTTAAATTTACGAATATTATCATAAACTGAAGGTAAAAATCAAATTTTTGAAAATTGAGATTCCCGACTAAATTTTTTTTTCCTCCCTTTAAACTTAAATCATATTTTTGAAAATGTTTTTAGTAGTTAATTAAAGTTCTTATTACTCAATTCGAAAGCCGTGATGTTATTTGAGTTTTTGTTTTCCGTAATTTCCCTTAAAAAAATGACACACAATACCAATTTTGCAACACGTGCAACAAACAATCACGAGAATTATTATACAATTAGACAATAACAACATAAAACCTACGTCAAAACTTATAACTTAAAGTTTGACACCAATAATTCAACAACTATCTTAATATATAATGGTACAAGTTATTTTCGTTTTAATCTTTTTCTAAACTAGCATTTCGAAATTCTTTTAATTTTTGGTATTTAAAGAATAAAATAAAAAGGTGAATTGGTCAGTACGTGAGGGTGTGTGTCATGACGTTGGTGACGTACATTTAAAATTTTTAAGTTATTCAAGAAACTTAGGTTTAATTACTTCCTGTCTACGTAATATAGAACTCGAATGGATTAACAAATAAAACGTATGAAATTGTACAACATAAAACTAAGCATTTCAAGTCAAATATTGAGAAATATGATTAACGACTCATATCAAGTCACGACAATTGATTATGTGCATACAGAAAATCTTAAAACACATCTAAATCATGGTAATTACCTAGAGTTGTCATTACCACTTTCTTACAAGCTACACCTAATAATAACCGTAAAACATAGCTAAACAAAGTCTAAGAAAAATAAATAAAATAAAAATTGAAAACAATAGTATGTTTCAAAAATAATAAAATATCATTTTGATAGGACGCATGGTACAATCGAATATTCATATAATCTATTACCATTATGCAAAGCAAAATTTCTATTGTGAGTCCCATGCCATTTATCAATTATCACTTTTAAACTCATCTTTTGTCCTTCAAAATGTGGGTTTATTTTATAAGTTAAACCACAATTAATCCATTTCTTCTGACAACTATCCCACAATTAATAAGGATTTGAATTTGTTATTGTTTTTGAATAACAACAAATGATCTTGTTGGAGAGAAAAAGACACATTTTTTCATGCAAGAGTCCATCGTGATTAATAGTAGGATTCACTAGTTATATTAAAAATATTATGTTCTTCTCTCTCCAATAAAACCATATTATGTTATTTAATCCGCATCTTTAATTGCCTTTACTGGTTTCTGCCTTTGATGTTTGTGTAAATAATGTATTACATATTTTACATTATTTGACTTGGAAAAGCTTTTGAATGATGCAGGGAAGGAGGTCATAATTAAGGCAGTATACAAGCAATCCGGACTTATATGATGTCGATAATTAGATTCCTTAAGATCTTCTGTTCGTCCATTTGTTCATTAAATGGGAGTTTGTGGTGGAGAACGAGACAAGAAAGAAAAGCGAATCCATTGGAAAAGCTGAATTTGACAACCAGCAAAAGGGAAGGTGGTATAGGATTTCAGGACTTTTTGTTTTTGGTAAAAGGATCTAAGGACTTTACCCATACTAAAACTGCTATTCTTGGGAAGCAAGCTTGGAGAGCTAAAAGAATCTCTATGCCCTTAGTGTGTAAGTTTGGTATAGTTGTTGGGTTTATCCGAAAGTCCAATTGGAATTAGTGTGTGAGAAAAGCTCAAAAAAATTAGAATTCAAGAAACTTAGAGTTGGGGTTTCTTGGTGTCCAAATTAATACCTCCACTTTAGTCATTAGCCTGCACTGTTGTTGCAGTGAAATCAAAGATTTGAAACCCTAAAATGCCCACACACTTCCCAGCTTCCTTTTGATAATAGTATGAAAAATCTACATGTAACCCATTCTTAGTAAGGAAGCTTGTTCGTGCTGTGACGCGGAGAATAATAGTTCGTGAAGGAGGTGACTTCGTGGCAGTAGAGACGATAGAGATTATCACACCAACACAAAGGGGAATTTTCACGGGTCTGCGCAACAAGAGGTAAACAAGAACCGTGATAATCCGTTGCATTCCAAACCACAACAGTGTTTATGCTTCTCCAGATCCAATTGTGCCATGAATAAGTAATTAATCCATTGATCTTTGGAATCAGCGGTGGAGTCAAAATAAATTGTGAAAAGGGCAAAATTGTAAGTGTAATATTTCTTATAAATTATAATTATTTATGAAACCAAAAGAACAAAATAATATTCATAACTAAAAGCTTATATAACTTGAAAGGAGTGACCATCCTCACTAACCCCTGTCTGGCTTCACCATTATTTGGAATGGCAAGTGGCTTTGATGTGGGGTTTCATTGAGAGGTTGTAAAAGAATGGGACTCAAAAGGTCAGTAGCTTGATTGATGCTATTAATAAACGCAGAATGACCAAAATCCCACACTATTCACAAATAATTATATGAATGCCATTTTCCAAAATGCCACGTCACTTAACTTGCTACAACACCTGACGAGTTAGGTGTGGACACGTGGCAGAAGTTTCATGGCCACATAAGCCGCTGCACAGTGCAGCGAGATTATGTGGCAGACAGCTTCTGCCACAACTTGTCGCACAACATAAAATGCTAGACAGCTTGGTGTGTTACGTGTCTAACACGTATCACATTGACTATGCTGCATAGCATGTTACATGTTAGCTTTTCTGATACATGTCCGTACATGTTGTGCTGCAAAGCATATTTTGTGTAAGTAGTCCAATAGTCAAGCGTTTTTGATCTAATAAATTCACCACTCCTAAAAATTAAATTAATTAAATTTATGTTTGTTAATTAATTTATGTTAATTTATTATTTTTAGGAGTGTTAATTAATTTCATTTAATTTAGTTCATGTTAAGTTAATTTTTTGAACTGTTAAGTAATTTAATTTAAGTTAGGAGTGTTAATGAATTAAATTAAATTTATGGTTGTTAATTAATTTAGTTTATTTTTTCTATATTAATTTAACAGAAAAATATTTCTGCAGTAAATGCAGATAAGTTATCTGCATTTATTCCCAAAATAACGTTATTTTGGTATTGAAATATTAAAAAAATATAATTATAAAGACTATAATAACCCTAAAATAAATTAAAATTATAAATACATCATGATTTCTGCCTCAAAACATTATCGTATTGAGTTTACTGCAGATAATTTATTGTATTAGGGGTGTTCGCGGTCTGGATTGGATCGGTTTTGGAAGCAAAAATCATCCGATCCAATCCCTTCGGTTTGATCATGTAATCATCCTTTTGATTTGGACTTTTTTTCAAATTCGATCCGATCCAATCCAATTTTTTTCGGTTTGGATTTGATCGGTTTTCGGTTTTTTGAAAATCCTAAAATTTGTTTCATAATTATTATGTAGATAACATCTCATATATATATATTGACTTTGTAAAAAATATATTTTAAAATATAAAAGAATCAGTAAATGATAATATTTTTTTTTTGGGGGGACAATGAGATATGAAGCTTTACGCATATGAAATTTTGGTATCTGCATTTATTCCCAAAATGACGTTATTTTGGTATTGAAATATTAAAAAAATTAATTATAAAGACTATAATAACCCTAAAATAAATTAAAATTATAAATACATCATGATTTCTGCCTCAAAACATTATCGTATTGAGTTTACTGCAGATAATTTATCTGTATTAGGGGTGTTCGCGGTCTGGATTGGATCAGTTTTGGAAGCAAAAATATCCGATCGAATCCCTTCGGTTTGATCATGTAATCATCCATTTGATTTGGACTTTTTTTCAAATTCGATCCGATCCAATCCAATTTTTTTCGGTTTGGATTTGATCAGTTTTCGGTTTTTTGAAAATCCTAAAATTTGTTTCATAATTATTATGCAGATAACATCTCATATATATATATATATATATTGACTCTGTAAAAAATATATTTTAAAATATAAAAGAATCAGTAAACGATAATATTTTTTTTTGGGGGGGACAATGAGATATGAAGCTTTACGCATATGAAATTTTGTTGATGAGATGTGACTAGATTTTTTCTTGGGTTTAGTGATGGGTTAATGGGTCTTGAGTTTAGAAATTTTTGGGCTATGATTGGGGAAAGACCCAAGTAGAAAGAAAGGAATTAATATATTGGATCAGTTTGGATTGGATTGGTTTTCATTAACCAATCCGAAAACCGATCCAATCCAATTAAAATTTGGGATTTTTTTCGATTTTCGGTTTTTTGGTTTTAGTTTGTTCGGT